GCCACTAAATGTGCGGTGGTTGGTTACGCAGTAACCAAGACAAGAAACCGCTATGTGAAAGTTGGCAAGCTGGAGAAAGCTTCCAGAAATTTTAGATGATTTGAGAGGAGAAGGCTAGGAAGATTAGTATAGATATTTAAGGTATCATTAGATGAGCTTCAAAGCAAAAGTTATTGTAGATGGAGGTATTGCCTGTGTCCTGCAGAACAGGTCAAGAAACAGAGTTAGGCCCCAAAACAGGCACAGGGACAATGAGACGGGATGAGGGCATCGAGGCAAGAATATGATAGTTTGAGTGCAGTCCCGGGTTAGACATTCGGTTTAGCTGGGACATGTTTTTCGAGGGAGGTGATCCACTCAGAGAGGTGAATGTTGACACGATTTGTTTGGCCAACAGCTGCTTTTGGCAGACCCATGAGCCCCTGACTTCATTTCTCTCACTGTGATGAGAAAAAAAAAAATTATGCTGGAAAAACAAGTGCCTGGCCCAGAAAACAATGACAAAGGAAAAGGAAAAAGGTCCAACAAAAACGCCCGCCTTAGATGTGGGAGAGAAGGGAAGGGAAGAACTTGGGTGAACCACGAAACGTTCCTAACGCGACCGAGCTTTCCTGAAGGAGAACGAACGCCCAAGGAGGCAAAACTCTGGACGCTTCCCCCACACCTCCCAAGAGAAGGTTTAGCAGGATGACACACTACTCAAGGCCTGAACATTCAGAAGCCTCGGACAGACAACTGTCTGGAGGGACGTAAAGCAGGCTCAGGGGCAACGGGACAGGCCTCGAAGATTCTAAACAGCTTCAGCTCAGAAACCGGCTAAGGCGGACCCTCAGGCTGAAACATGTCAGGTGACAGAGAAGCCTCCTTAGGAAGCAGCGTTCGCAGGCCTAAGCAGTTCTGGGGTCAGGGGCAGTGGTGGCGGTCCCTGAGACACCGGACGGAAAAGCAGTGGCCACTCACAGACAGCGAGTGTAGACAAAGCCGTGACAGGAGCTCAAGGCGTTGCTTCCTTCCTTCCT